TGCCTTCCAGAAACAGACTTCAAGCATCAGAGATAATATGTTTTAATACCCCATGCATGTTTACATGAGCTCAAATGCAACATTTGCAACTTACATTTTGTCTTATTTCCAAGCTATTTTCTTTCATCTAATGTTTTGAAAGTTGCATATGAGTGCTAGCTATACCTTGTGCTTTCTACACACTATTTGATAAGAGCTTTAATTGTAAGTTTAAAGTTGAAAATGCTAACAATAGCAGATTATAAATGTAAGCAGGACAAAATTTAAAGGAAATGTGCACAATTTAAAAAAAATAAAAAACCAGAGCATACCCAGGCAATTAAGTGGCATTCAAAAGATTACCCCAAAATTTCTTGTAGAGCTTTTCTATTTCTGTCAGAATGCTGACTTTTAAAAGACATAAGGATATTCTATTCAGAAGCAGAAAGGATCACAGGGATAAATTGTCAGAGTCCTAAAACAATCCTACGAAAGCTCTTTCCTTTACAAGTTCAAACCAATTACAAAGTACCAAAAACCTAACTGAAAATTATTTCTTCTATCAATACAACTAAGTCTTCATCTCAAAACTGCAAGGAAACACTGAAGGATGTAAAGTATTTTAACAAAGACTCTAACTACTTCTAAATTCATTTTCCACTGAAAATGCAAATCTTTGTTTATTGCTTATATTTACATACAACTATTTTGCATCTAAATACAAGTCCATATAATAACTTTCTAGCACTGCTATGTTCCATGTACAAATGGACACACAAAAATACTGTACAATGTTATAACTGAATACTACAGAAATAAATGTTTGGATATAAAATAGCTATATCAATTGGAGAATGAGTATTCTGGCAATTCTTAACTGAACAGAGTTAAGATATACCTCTCCAAAGATTATTAAGAAGAAACTATGTTTGTTTGTTTGTTTATTAAAAATCCCTGAAAGAATAAATTAAGTTTAAAAAATTATTATTTTAAAGCTGAAAGACTTATAGGGAAAGTAAGGATAATTGAACCTATTTGATGTAGAATTTCAACTATTAAACACTGGTATAACTAAAAGGATCTCCCAAAACAGATCTGTCCACTTCTGAGCAGCCACCTCTCTGCAACCCATGGGCTCCCTTGCCCTGTGAACTGTGCAGAATTCCCAGGTTCCCCAACTATGCGGACTGTGCCACTCTACCCCCAGGAATGGGGGCAAGAAGTAGAAGCTGGAGGAGGAAAGGGGAGCCTGAAGACCTTGCCAACATCAGAAGTTGTTGGGGGTGAGTGGTGGCCAGGCAGGAACCTGTGGGCTACAAGTTGGCCAGCCCCATCTCAGAAAACAGAGTAGGAAAAAAAGAAATAAAATGCCAATTTACAGATGGTCGCATAAGTTTTTCTTATGTGAGTAAAGATAATTAGAAGTCTGTTGCACATGCATTAATGGACTGCATATTCTTAAGCAAAAATACTGCCGCAACCAGTCCACAGAACCAATGAAAGCGTGACAGCAACTTGTTTTTTTTAAATCTAGACAAGTCCTGCTTGAAAGAGATGTGCCTTCCCCACTTCAGTAAGAAAACAGGAGGAAAATGCTGAACTCTCACAAGCGACCAAACAGCATCACTCTGCTCACATCTCTTAACTTCACCAGTCCTCATTCAGCAGCAACACATTATGCAGCCCCCTCACCACCAACTCAGTCTGTCTGTACAATCATACAACCAAAAATAGAGATAACCAGGAGCTACAGTACATGATTAAGCAGCAACATTTTCAGCATTGTTTCCAAAATACAATATCATTGAAATTTCAGCATCATGGGTATGTTGTATTTGGTAAAGAACTGCCAAAGAATGATAATACTATGAGAGCATGGACACAAGTAACACTTAGAACAGTTTAAATATGGCTTAAACCTGAAGCAGAGAAATACATAAGCTAGTTAAATCAGTTCAAAGCCATCTGAAACGGTTCAAAAGTGTACCTCAACCATCAAATACTATTTTGAACGGTTCACTGTTATGTGTGGAAACCGAACATTCTGTGATATGGGTTTAGTCAGACCTCCCAGCATCCCATAATGCATCATTCCTCACCCAGCCCCTTTCTCCCCCGACTGTAGCAATTGGCCATTCTGGTATGGAGCCAGAATTATACCGCCCCCCTTTTCTTCCTTTTGTTGGTACTCCTCTTGCCTCCCCACAAAATCAATGAGCTCTCTCGTAGCTCCCTTGTACTGCTTGGTCAATAAAATCTCTCTTTTCTAATAATTAGCTGTGTCCTTACTCCCTACTCAACCATGGCCCCTCCCCACTGCCTCACTCAGCTCCTGGGAACCAACAAGCATGGGGCCAAGCATCTCCTCACCTCTCTCCCCACCAAGTCAGACAAGCACACTGCAGACTTTAGTTAACTGCAGGCTACTGACGTTTATTGAACTCCTATTTAGGAGAAACGAGAAAGCAGAAAACTGAAAACACTCTTGGCCACTCTTTCAGAAAAGTGAAAACACTCACTCACCCCACTGTGCTCTCATAATATGGGTGCAAGCACTCCACCCCTACTTGCCCACTCCAAGACATGTTGGGCTGGATACTCACTCCCATCCCCTAGTGTCATGACCACAGCACTTCACACAACTGTGAACTCATGCATAATCACTGACATTTTGGAATGGTTCAATTGTTACGTGTGTCTACACACTAAGTACTTCTTTTAATGAAGGTAGTAATATACAAAAGTAGAGCTATCATTTAAATCCTTACAACTATTTTCTGGTAAATATCAGAGTGCTAGAATGCTTATTCTTGGGCAGGAAATAAGCTAATTTTGCTAAAAAGAGCAATAGAGGGATTTTAATTTGTGAATTTACCTGCCTCAAAACAACTCATGAATGGCATCTTGAAGTAAATTATTTTAACACTTATTTTGGTTTCCTTTAAATAGCTGAACTTTTCCATTAAACAGTTGCAAGCACGGGGAGTACTTGGAAGAGGAGGTGTCATGTGGCATGCTGCCCCTAGCTTTTAAAAAATTGGACAGGTCTGCTCCAATTTGTAAGGTAAGGAACACCAATAATATAGATATAAGCAGGGATCCAGATTTTCCATTGCCTGCAGTAAAATGTGGATTTTTCAAAACCCAGATTTTTCCCTTTGAAGAAGGAAACCATGGGTTTCCCCTTGCAGACTGGCAGAGCTCCAGCCTACAAGAAGATGCTTGGGGCTGGGGGAAGCAGGGGGAGGGCTATCAGAGGTAGAGGACACCACGTGCATGTGCACACACATGTGGCTGGCAATACAGCCAGGCAGGGTGGTGGGAGCAGCCCTAGCAGCTGGATACAGGTAAGTCTATGGGATGGGGTGGGGGGAGGAAGGTGGGTGGAGGGCCAGAACTTTGGGACTGTCTGGCAACTGCGTGTGGCAGGGTGAGGCATGGGTGGCAGAGGTGAAGGGAAGGGTTATGAGGTGTGTGTATGTGTGCATGTGCGCGCGTGCAAGAGGCGTGTGTGCGCATGCCTCTGACACAACACAGGTGCCTGCCAGCACTAAGCGATGTCCAGGCATTGGGGCTGCAGCAGGGCAGGAGAGTCTGAGGCAGCACTCAGCACCACGGGTGAGTCCAACTCTGCGTCACTGTCAGCTGGGGCCCACCCAGAGGCACCTGTCCCTCCAGCAGAGGAAGGGGATGGTGGAAACCTTTGGGGGCAGTGGCTGGGCTGGCAGCACCAAGGGCTGGTGCCCATGTTCGCGGGGGCAGGGGTGGGGTGGCTGGAGATGCTGCCTGTGGGGTGCAGGGGGAGGGATGGGGGCCAGGCCACCTGGCGCAATTTGTCTCTTACTCCTCCCTCCAGCTCATGCTTGAGCTGGACGGGCTCTGTTACCACCTGCATGAGCTGGAGCACTGCAGCTACCACAAGCAGGATGGAGACCATCTGGAGCCCCGTGCACTACCAGGGCCAGGGGACTGTGGGTTAGGAGTGAGGGGTGCTACCAGCACCAGGGGGGTGGAGGACTGTGGGTCAGGGGCTGTGGGTTGGGAGCAAAGCTGGGTGGGCTGTGGCTTGGGAGTGAGGGGCAATGGCATGGGAAGGGGCAGGGCACTGGCATATCAGGGCTGCACACTGCCACAAAGCAGTGACGAAACAGCTGCAGCTGGACACATCCTGGTGAGTGAAGGTGGCAGGGAGACTCAGATTTTCCATGATAAAAATACCAAAATCAAACGCCAAAATATATAGGTATTTAGAATTTATTTTATTATAAAGATTAAGGCACTGGTAGGCTTCTAAGATGCTTTAATATTGTAAAAATATAAATAAAACATTGTGTTCAACTGATACCTATATATATATATATATAGGTATATATAATATATATATATATATATATTCCATTATATATATAATATAATGGCATTTTATTTTAATAATGGAAAAACGCAAATTTGGGGGGTTTTAAATCAAATAATTTTGAATTTTTAACAGAGAAAATCAGGCTCCTCAGACATAAAGAAACTTTAATTATGCTGAAGGTGACCTCTAAAGGTTTTTCAGAAACTGAAATTTCTTTCCACTTTTTGCTAATTAATAATATGTAAATAGGGCTTTTTAAAAGTTTTGTTCTTAAATGTAGTAATATCAGGAGTGTTAAGTCTTGTCTCTCTTTTTGTTTTTTGGATGACCAGTGGGAGGTGTAAGAGGTAATCAAGAGAGAATTCTTATGAGCAAAGCTTAACTGTAGGGTTGAGGGTTCTGTATCTTTAATCAAGGCTTCCTGAATTCAAAATATTAACCAATCTTCAGAGAAGCCGACAAAGCAAAAATCCCTTCCTTTCCTAAGAACTTAACTTAGAGTTCACTAAGAACTGATTACCTGAATGAGTCATATGACTAATATTAGTATTCAGTATATAGCTGGATCATCAAAGTAGTCCTGATAAATGTTTTAAAAACGCAATGCATCATTCAATGTCCTTTATCAGTGGTAGTTCTGAATCTTGAAAAATAGGTTCCTGACCTTTTCATCACTGGTAGTGGATTCTGGATGAGGTAAAGGACTGTCCTGATGAGTTGTCTCCACAACTGAAGGCTCTTCAATTTTATTTCTTATGATTGGTGTTGCAAGAGGGGAGAGATCTAGTGGCATCTAAAAAAGTAAACATGAAAAGAAACCTGTTCATTTTTCACAAACAAACACATAAAAATCAAATAAGCACCTGAGTAAGGGCTCTACTCTAGACAAGAGGAGAGGTAAACAAAACTTTGCTGGTCACTCTCCCCCTTTTCTCTACCTCTCCACTGAACTCAGCAGCAGAGGAAAGGAGGGGACAACAGGAGGGGATGAGCAATGGTGGCATTCAGGCCTTGGGCTCTGGAACCAAAAAAAAACAGGGGACCAGGCCAGACTCTGTGCCAAGAACTCATGTGCATCACAGTCTAAACAGGATGTGAACACATTGCCAGGCCCTCTGTGCCCCTGCCCTGGAGTACCATATTCCTCTCTAAAATACAGATATCAGAGGGAAAAGAGCAGTTTCGAAAAAAACCTGTTAAAGAATTTCTAAAATTCTTTAATATCTGTAGTCTCCAGAAATAGCACAAGAAGAGTTCTCATGCTGTACACATTTCCAGGATTGATATTGCTACACATATCAGTGTAGGATAGTGGAAGTGAGTGAATAAAAGCAAGTGATTTGGAAGTACAGTGGGCACAGAGAAAGGGTGAGGGGGATAATTGTTTGTTAGGCATAGGTAAAATTTTAATAGGTCTTTGGTGCCTACTTCTATCTTTCTAGCCGAAGAGAAGGCTAAAGGTCTGATCCTGCAAACCCTCGAGAAGGAATAAAATAAATGTAAAGACAACGAATTTAAGCAAAGATAATTAGGAAAACAGAGTGAAACAAGTTAACAGATTCAAACATACCTTTCCTAAAAATTCAATCTGCAAATGAACAAGCTTTCTAGTATTGGTTCTGAAGACCAACATTGTCTTTAAACCAAATGACTTAAATTTCACTTCATCTGACAAAGCGAATATAATTATAACTCATTTAATTTCAAACTGAACTATTTAAATTATTTGGTTGCTTTCTTTTAGTGTGTTAGGGGTTCACTGATAGAGATTTTGGGGGCTGATACTGATAGCCGAGTTTTAAGGAGGCATATCAGTCGACACAGATCCGATTTCCAATATGCAGTCCTGCAGCTTGAAGAGCTGCATCCAGCTGGTAAGTCTGTTGTGGTGGAAGGGGAGGGGGGAGGGAT